TCCACGATCTTAGCAAGGGCAGCGTAAGCGAAATTTGACATAGTTCCTGCTCAACGGATTTTGGCAGAGAGCACCTTGGCAACGAGACAACATCCGACTGTTTGAGGTGTTCGGGCATATAACTTTGAATCATCGATGCGTTGTAGATGGCCATGCTAGAGGCCCTGCCAGGGGGGGCTCCCATGTCGCCCGTCTGAATTTTAAAACGTCTCGTGTCGGTGTTTATTAATGCTTCACGCCGCTGTCGGAAATTGAACGAAAATTCTTTGTCTTTGTCGGAATTTTAGAAAAGGGGGATAGCGATGGGTTTTAAAGAAACCATTACAGTTGAGCAACTTCTCAGTTAACCTTTCGCGTGTAGAACACCTATACATCGCCATTCACAATTAAGGGTGTGTTCCTTTCGGTGAATCCAGAAACGGATTTGGATCTTAAAACGGATTTCACGTTCCTTTCGGCAAATCCAAATTCGGATTTTTGATCTGGTGAATCCTTTTTGAAAAAGGATTCACATTGGATTTGAAATCCGAAGAATCCGAATCCAGATTAACGGATTAGTCATCTACGCTGTTCCATTCACAATGGATTCGAAATTAGTCAGATGATCCAGCTGTACTTCCAGTTGAAGTATTCCCGTAGAGTTTCCTAATTGCTGCCATTTGCCGTAAAACATCTGAAAACACTGGAAGATTGTTCATGGTGGTACAGTAAAATGTCCATGTGCTGACCATTTGTCGCTAAAGATTGCTTGAAAACACAAATAAGTAAAAGGGACAAATAACTGCTATCTTTCTACAAACTCGCTCTTGGACGCTATAGGCACTCGATCGTGTTACATAGAAAACCGAGCTACGAAACTGGATCAAACTGAGCCGACAACCTTTAGATAATTTTCACCTTTAACACGCTACTTTCTTGATCTGTTTATGTTCCATCGTCGTTTCGAACTGCCGACCACAAAATTCTGCACGGTATAATCGCATAATTTGTCAAACAGTAGAAAACATGTCATTTCTTGAGAGACTCAGGCTGTCATGCATATTGCACGCGTTTGCGAAAGGTTACCAAGGTCACAAATCCAATTTCGGATTTCACGTTCTTTTCGACCGCGAAATCCGGCAAATCTCGGATCAGAAATCCGTTTTTGGATTCGCTTAAAGGAATACTGTCAGCACATCCTAAGTGATCCACGTTCAACATTTTAAGACTAACTGACCTGATAAATCGTACGTGAAGGCCGGTTAACGGTGGTCTACGCTGT